GATCAACTTAAAACAGCTTATAAGCTAAAAAAAAAGCATCCCTACCCCAGCTTTTAACTTTTGGCTTAAAATAATTTTTTTTAAACTTAAAATAAGCTATTTTGAGTATTGCCAAACAGTTAAATAAGTCAAAAACCAGCTTTTAAGTCAGTTTGACCAGCTTTTAAGGTGAGCCAAACATGCTCTTATTCCACTAGTGATAGAGAACATGTTTTGAATACTACATATATTGAATATGTAACTCATAATCTTACAATGGATAACATGTTTGGAGAAATACATATAGTGAATGTATTATTGTATCTATTTATTTCTACTTTAACTGTGTTTTAAAAATTCATTATAGATGTGTTTAATTTCCGTTTAAGTTCCACCTTATATTCCTAGTGCTACTTTTTTGGGTCATTTCTCGGTCATGGACGTTTTATTCATAAAAAAATTTGTACAACATTGGACTCAAGTGGGTCCAATAAAAATCCACATTAAAGTAAAATTCAGCCCAGCCCAATTCTAGAAACCTTTATTAAAAGACCCTTCAGGTAGGGTTTTCTAATTCGACACTCTCCTCATTTCCTCCTCCATGTCTCCTCTGAGAGAGTTTGTCAACTAAGCCGCCTATCTTCTTCATCTGTGGATCATCAATTCCCCTTTGGGTAATGGTTTATTAATGAGCAGAGAATCAACTCACAAAGGTATATGCCTTTTCACTCCTCCCTTCTTTCTAGTTGGACTCTTCTTCTCCTCTTTCTTTCTCTCTTCAATAGTAAAGTTTTTATCCTGTAGATATCTTGGGTTTTTTTCGAATTCGACAGGGGTGTCTAGTCATGACTCTTAGTTGAGTAAGCTCTTTGTAAGCCTTCATCTTCGCTTTTTCTTTCTATTGCGTTCCTTCATCCACTAAATCGTTCTTTTGCTGTTGAGGTAGATAGTGATGAAAATATCCACGATGCTCAGACGTTTCCTTCTTTACAACTCCTCCTCAAGATCAGATCTCCCAATCCATATTTGTCCCTCTGGTCCTCGAATTTTGCTGGTGACTAGCTCCTTTTGGTAAGCACATAACATTTGTTAGGTAGCTTAAATTTCTCACATTTATGAAGCCTTGTAGATGGATAAAACTGGCTATGGTAATCTATACATTATTGCATGTTGTTTATTCTCCTGGCTCTAATTCTTAGATTAAAGATTTGTGCATTGTCACTATTTAGTAATTTTCTACATTATATTGGAAGTTGTAAAAAATTCTTAGCATCTAAAGTAATTTGTTAATCCAAAACCACATTTTCTAGATTGTTTACGAGTTGTTTTGCTTCTCTAAAAAGATGCTTAATCATAACTTGTGATAGTCTTATGAGCTGCCTTATTTCGTCAATCTGAATAGCTAATTGTCATGGTATCTTTCATTTATTCCTACTAATCTTCCCGAGAATGAGTGAGTCAATTTCAAGAATATATCATGTAAATTAAGACCTTGACATCTCCTTAATGCCATTAAAATTGTAGTAGCCTCTGCCTCCATGTTTGTAGTACTCCCATGAATCGAATCTCTGCACTAATAAGATCTCCATATCCATTTCTAATGTAGAAGACGTATGAACTTTCTCTCGGATTTCCTCTACTAGCTTCATGTGTATTGCACTTCATCCATCCTTGCTCTGGTAATATCATTCATCATCGCTCTGGTAATATCATCCATTGTCGCTCTGGTAATTCCTCTTTTACTATCAACCAATGAATCTTTGGTTTGTACTTATGTATCTTGGCTATTATTCCCTCCCTCTCTGTTGAACCCTAATTCATAGGTATTTTAATTTGACCAAGCAATGCATGTATATCATGGGCTGCTGGAGTAGATATTTGTATCCCACTTTTTTGCCATGTCTTTTTTTTTCCAAACTCCCACATTAACAAAAAAGAATGTCAAACTGTATATGTACCTTAATTTTGTTGGGAATGGTTCATTTCACCACCTCTATGTCAAACTAAATCTATTGCTTTTGAGCTAATGAAGTTGTTAGAAATAGGTGGAACATAAACTCTTGTACGTAGCTTTCACAACAATAGAATCTTTAGGCCAATGAAATTCTCATATTCCTTAGGTTGTCTTCGGTGAAAATCCTCAATTGTCATACCCTCCATTAAAAATAACTTATTTAAAAAAAAATATATATTTTAATCAAATATTGTCCAACCATTCATGTTGTAATCTTGTTTTTCTCATCAGTTCATATGCACATTTTACTGAGAAATTGTCACTGTTATTAGGCATTCAACATAGTGTATCACTTTCTCTAGCTTCCACTCTAATGTTAATCTTGATTTTCTGATATCGTGCCAATCATTTTTCTTTATTCCATCCTCCATTTTTGGTGTGGCTTTCCATTTCAATATCTTTCATCCCCGTAACATTTTTTGTGAAGTATAATGCTTCTTACTTGGTCCAGTTATCAAATCAAAATTTGGAGTTTCCTGATATGATTTTTCATCTTATCTCATGCTCATTTCATCCCTTACCTCTATTATTTTTTTATGCACGTGAAGCTCATCTAGCTCTCGCAATAACTGAGTGTTGTTGTATACACTATTTGTTCCACACGAATGTGCTCCATAGGATCTTATTGAGATCCTAAATCTCTACCGTAGCCTCTTAAGTAGGGCTTTATTTCTTCATGGACTGATCTCAAAACCCACTCCCCATCCCATCATAGGAAAATGTATATCCTCCCACACAACCCAATGTTTTCCTCTTTCTCCCCTGTTTTTAAATTAAAAAATAGTAAAAACTTGGAGCATTTGTTTTATGATTCGTCTAGTAGGGTTCATGGTTGATAGAAGATACACTGACATATATTGCAGAATGTGTGCGATCAACAATATCATCTTTCATAGGATAAGAATTCATTCTGCCAGCCTATAATTCTTTTTGCCATTTTCCTCAGTATATGTTTATAGTGTACCTTGGTCTTCTTTCCATGATAAACAGGACATTCTAGGTACCTGAAAGGGAAAGTTTTCATTTTTATACCCTTGAGTTTTTCAATCTGATTCCCACCGCAGGAGGTGTTTCTTCATGCAGATATAAGAATTTTTTGTTCTTATTTATTATTTGGCCAGACAATTCTTCATACCTCTTAAGTATCGACATTATTTTTATAAATGAACATTTATCTCCAAATACAAATAAAATTAGAGTCCAAAGTCAGAAGGAAAAAAAATTGAGAATAAATTTCAAAAGGGCAACGAAAAAAAGTTGAAACAAAAATGAAAACATTAAGACTGAAAGATGACTCTGTGAAATTTTATAGAGTAAAGTGCAGCCTAACATGCGCCTTACAAGGCGCAAGGTGACATGATACTTGTAAGACGCAGGTCGACTTGCACCTTGTAAGGCGCATGGGAGTTACGCATGCACCTTACTCCTAACCAATTCGTGAGTCATACAAAGGGCTACCATAATCTCAAATCTTCACTTTTTTCTTTTTCTTCACCTAATATTTCTATTTCTTTTGCTTTCTTCTTTGTGACAACACTTATTTTTGTTTGAGAGATCTTTTTCATAATCATTACATGTCATGTTCATTAATAATTTGTTAGATTGTGTGACAAAAAAATTAATTTTTTTTATCATATTTTTAGGTGGTGCATTGTTTGGATTTGAATTAAGACTTATTATTGTCTTAACTAGGAGATTGTCTACTTAAATTGATCAAACTACCATGCTTCATATTGTGCATATAAAGTAGGATATTTAATTCCTAATATTAAGTTATTAATGAAAGGTCTGCTAATTTTATTCCCTTCCAAAATACTTATTTTATTCCGTTTTTAAGGGTCAATTTAACTATTTCAAAGTTAAATTAGATTATATTAATTCAATATTTTAAAAAATAAAAATTTTAATATAAAAAAACTATATGAGAATACTGTAAATTCCATTTTATTTCTTATCAATATAATTAAAAAAACACTCATATAGTTTTTTATATTAAATTTTTTTATCATAATATTGAATTAATGTAATCTAATATAGTTTTGAAAGTAAGTTAATCAAATTGACTCATAAAAATGAAACAAAAACAACTATTTTAGAAGGAAGTAAAAATTAGTAGATATTTCATTTATATACCTTAATATTGTGTTTGACCAATTTAAGTACGTAATCTCCAAGTTAAGACAAATAATAACTCTTAATAAAAATTCAAACAATGGCCTACCTATATAAATATTGACAGAAGTTCATATTTTTTGTCACACAATCTAATAAATTATTAGTGAACATGGCAATTGATAACGAAAAAACTCTCTAAAAAATTTAAAAAATCAAGTGTTGCCATGAAGAATAAAGCAAAAGAAATAGAAGAATTCGGTTAAGAAAAAGAAAAAATGAAGATTTTAGATTGTGCTAACCCTTTGTATGACTCTCATAAAATTGGTAAGGAGCAAGGCACGGACTGTCATGCACCTTACAAGGAGCAAGCCGACCTGGACTTACAAGTATCATGTCGTCTTGTAACTTATAAGGCGCATGTCAAGCTGCACCTTACTCTCTAGAAGTACACGGAGTCACCCTTCCATTTAAATGTTGCCCTTTTGGTTCCAATCTTATTTTTGTTGGCCTTTTGAAATTTATCCTCAATTTTAAAGCCCTTTTAGCTCCAGACGTAATAAGATTGTATCATCAGCAATCTCCAAATTCCACCTTGATATTCCATATCCTCTATAACTCTCATCTTCATGTGGTGTTGCTAACCCTTTACAAGTACCTCAACTACAATGATAAACAAAGTGGATGATATAGGTCCCAGGATCACCTTGTTTCAGTTCCCTCTTTGAAGTGAATTTTTTTTGTGAAATATTATTTACTAGAACCGAGTACCAATTGTTTGAAATAGGCCTCCAAATCTTGTCAATGTAAACTCTAAGAAACCAAACTTTTGTAGAACTTTATTTAAAAAATCCAAGACACGATGAGTGTGTTTGGTATGAAGGAAAACATTTCTGCAAAATGTTTTCCAATTTTCTCATATTTAGTTGGGACAAAAGTCTTGGAAAATGTTTTCCAAATCAACTCATTTTCCTCAAAATTAAGGAAAATGATTTCCCTTCAAAAATTAAGGAAAACATTTTCCAAAACTCTTCTCCAACTTCAAATGACATTTTTTTTTGCAAAAAAATCAATTTTAAAAATATTTTCAATTTCAAAGTATATATTTTTCACCGGATCCCTGACCCCCATCCCACCCACCCACTACTGACCAGCCCCCCACCCCTACCCCAACCCCTCCCCTCCCAAAAAAATTTGAGTTCGTTTTTTAAAATATTTTTATTTAAAAACTCCCTCCCCCCGCCAGCGCCAGCCCTCCCTACCCACCCCCTACCAGCCCTCTCCCTCCCCAAAAAAATTAATTTTATTTTTAAAAAATATTTTTAATTTCAAAATTTTATTTTTTTACCTAACCTCCGCCCACCCCCGCCAGCCCCCCCACCCCACCACACACCCCCAAAAAAAATTGTTTCTAAAAAATATTTTCAATTTCATAAATTATTTTTTACTCTAGTAAAAATAAAAGAAGTTTCTCAAAAAACATTTTCATTCATAAATCAAACACTAAAAATCATTTCTAGAAAATATTTTCTACTTACCAACCAAACATGAAAAAATAAGTCCAAAATCTACTTATTTTTCGGGAAAAACATTTTCTAGAAAAACATTTTCCATGAAAAACATTTTCTTTCGTATCATATGTCTTTTCCATCACCAATTTTATGACAAAATTTGTTCGGTCAACAAGGTATTTGATGTGATGTTTCTCCCCTTAACAAATGTCAATTGGTTCTTGGAGATAATCATTTGGAGCCACTATTCAATTTTCTAATAAAAATTAAAAATTAAAATTTACTAAAGTTGTGCCTTGCTAAAGGCATTTTGTTGTACTTAGTAGTTATAGTTATAATGTTATAGTTATAGTTTGCATAATTGTGTCTTATGACAAATTTTATGTTTGCTATGAAATTTTTGATTTGTATAATTCGCTATATACATTCAATTTTAAATATAAATTGTATATAAAACATTTCAATTTTTTTTTGTATGTGTATATGTAGACAACCATGTTTGTCTTCAATTATGATGACTAGGTTTGTATATTAGATTTTATTTGTATATGCATATGTGTTTTTTGTTAGGCTAGTCCATTGTATATGTGCATATAGCTGTAATTTGTATATGTACGTGCTCTTTGTTCAAGTGTATATGTGAAATCTATATGCAAATAAGAAATAGTATTAGTTGTAATTTGTATAAGTGTACGTTTCTTTGTTGTGTTGTTCAATTGTACTGTAATATGTATCTAAATAAAAATTTGTATTAGTTGAATCGTATATGAAAATTCATGATTTTTAAAAAACTTTTTTATACAGAATCCAAAGAAAAAACATATAAAATTGTTCTCAACATGTTCTTGGTGGTTACCTGAAATTTTAATAGCATATTGGGGAGGGTAATTGCGACAATTCAAAATTCAAAAATAATGTTGGTGAGAGGAAACTAATCTGGGTGAGACAATTTAGGAGAAAATTGTGTATATGGGGAGAGAAAATAATGTGGGTGAGAGGAAACTAATTCGGGTGAGAGATTTTAAGAAAAAATAGTGTAAATGGGGATAGAAAATATTTGCTTTGATTTGTATGTATCTTTATACAAATAAGCAATAAGAGCTCAGTTACAACAGCCGAAGAAGCAGACCACCATTTTCTTGTCCTTTAAGGAACATGTAATTCGATTAAGTTGAAATGTCGCTCAGAGAAATTGCTATAGATAGCAAGTTATATGGAAAAGTAGCTGCAAATTTGAAATAAAGTAAAGTATAGTTATAACATTTAATTTAAACTAATAGTTTGCTGTTATATACAATTTTCTTTTTTAGTGTAACTTACATAAATAGCTATAGTTTTAGGGTTATTAGATTGAAATAGTTATAAATTTCATATTTAAAAATAATAGCTACACTTTGTGTTACAAAATGGTTATATCCATACATATGTTGCTTTTTAATACAAAAATACGTTTTAATTTAATTTCCCACTATATAAGGTTAATTAGTTAATGTAACTAACAATGCTTTTTTAGCCCTTAAACCCACTAATTTGGCACTTTAAATATGTAATTGACCACTACCTTTTAGAATTATTATCTGTTTAAAAATAAAAATTATGTTTGCTCTTTCTAAGCCTAAGAAAAATACAATTCAATGGTTACCACCACAGTTTTGATATGTTATTTCAAAAAATAGAGTAAAGAGAATTGGTATGTAGAATATAGCATTGACGGAATAGTGTTGAATGAATACGGTATATTAATGAAAGCTTATTTTTGGTGAGAAAAATATATTTATATTCAGTTGATTATGTAATCATTTATTTAAGTATTTGATGTATGTATACTTTCGTATAGAATGTATAAATGAAATTACGTGTTGTTTTTAGGTTTTTCTGTCAAGTGATTACATTTATTCAGTAAGTGATGAAGGGAAGACCTATATTGTATTCTTGGAAAAGAAAACTTGCAATTGCAGATGAACATTGGTCAGACTTTTACAAGGCATAAATAATATTATAAACATATGAAGTAAATGGAATATACCTGAACACATTTCTACTAAAGTTGTTTTGCCACCAAAATACAAAAGACCTCTGGAAAGGCCAAAGAAGCAACAGGAGAAGTCATTTAGCGAGTAAACTTAAAGGAAGAGTACGAATTATTGTAGTACATGTGGAAAATGTGGTCATAATAGGCAGTTCATGTCGAACTACAACACGGAATACATAGGACCTGATATATGTCATTATTGAAGTGTATTTTTACTTAATTATCGTTATGTCGAATAGATGAATAAAATAATTCTTATTTGCCTTTTAAAATATTTGTTTCTCTGTTTGCTTGCTTAAATTATAAATTAACTTGAATATTATCTCAATACTCTATTTGATATTATTAATATGTATCGACACACTTTAATAATACGTGAATATAGTTATACTTGATAATATATGTCGATGAATACATACATAAAACAGGTATACTAGTGAAAAAATTGGTTGGTATAATATAACATACAAATTATAAAAATACATATACGCCTACATATTTCTTTGGTGTATGATAAAAACCACTTTAAAAACATATAATAATGTAATTACTACCAACATTTACCGTATGTTTATCACTTTTAAGAATGTAAGTATCCAAATTTCTTTAAATAATAATTGACAATAAATGAATATCGTAATACTTGCGTATATTTTGATATGAAAAAATCTCTAGCATACATTTATACTATTGAATATGTTGATAAAAAACATACACAACTGAACAGATAATTACCAAAAGCAGATATCCATGTGTATACACTTTCAGATGAACTGTACATTTATCTACATACATCTATCCCTTCCTAACATTACACTGAATGCAATAACCCCAACAAAAAATTTTACAAAGTAGTTATCAAAATAGTAAAGCAACATGATCATATATAAATAAAATAGTTGATAATGTTTGACAAAAAAAAAATAGTTTTAACCATAAGATAGAAGTTCAAAATTAACTAGGTTAAGAAATCAATCCTAACAAGTTGCCTATTATCGATTTTGTGGATGGCCTGATCATTGTGTTGCCTCATTCTCGCTAACAACCCCTTCTTTCATCTTCTTCACTACACATTTTCATAATAGTGTGTCGTACTGATGCGGTGTAACTTAGAATCAAGGTATTGAGCTGGAATACCTTCACCTTAGCTCACTTTAGGTACTCTGCAAATGCTAGCTAACATATCTCACAATCCCTGATAAATGAGGAAAATACATTACTTAATAAGTATGATATTGTTTTTTAAAAAAGTATATTAAGAGAATGACAACATTTGCAACGATTATCTTCAGAAAATAGAATGACAACATAACTCTAAATACACTAAAAAGTATTCAAAATAATAAAGGTATTCAAATACAGTAGAAGATATTCAAAGTTCAACGGTATGTCACGCTGTAAGTAGTCAATGGTTATACGTATGCCACATTATACTAATTTGGAAGGTATATCCTCCACATAAATTTACTTGTTCAACTTACACTACATTCATATTACTACATCTTACTGCAAAATCATCTTCATAAAACAAAATGACAACATAACTCTAAATACACTAAAGAAATTCAAAAACGTAAAGGTATTCAAATACAATATAAGATATTCAAAGTGTAATGGTATGCCACACTATAAATATTCAATGGTTATATGTGTGATACAATATACTAATTTGGAAGGTATATCCTTCACATACTAATTTGGAAAGTGTAAAGGTATTCGAATACAGTAGAAAGTATTGATTCCGGCACAACAATATTGAATACAACCTCTAACTTCAACCTTAATAATATGTCATATACGTAGAACTATATAAAATCTTCAAAGAAAAAAAGAGAAAAAATGGGAGATTAGAATATACTTGTTGAAACTCAATAATAATTAACCACCGAAAATTGAGCAAACTCATTGATTGTGAGGATTTGATGGGCAAAAAGTCTGTGATTTTGTGAAACTTACTAGGAGATGAAATTGATTTAGGAGTAACAGAATTGATTTGAGGATAAAAAATTTGAATTAAGAAAAATGAAAGAAGGCTCAAAAAGTAAAAATAGGAAAGAGAGCGTGAAAAGTGGGAATAGTAAAATTTTATGAATGTGAATTGTATTTTGTTATTTGGGATAATGCCCAAGTACCCCCTCAATCTATGCCCGAAATCCCAGAGACACACTTATACTATACTAAGGTCCTATTACCCCCCTGAACTTATTTTATTAATAATTTTTTACCCCTTTTCGGCCTACGTGGCACTATCTTGTGGGTCCAACGATGGTTGACTTTTTTTTCAAACTAGTGCCACGTAAGCAAAAAAGGGGTAGAAAATTACTTATAAAATAAGTTCAGGAGGGTAATAGGACCTTAGTATAGTATAAGTGTGTCTGTGAGATTTTGGACATAGGTTGAGGGGGTACTTGTGCATTATCCCTTGTTATTTATTAGTTAAATATACCCATAAAATATATATAAAGAATAGTATAGCTATATTATTTTAATATAATATGTAGTTTGACATTTTTTTTAGCTTTACCCTAGTATCATTGTTTGTTATTTGTTGAAAATTTTTCATTTGGTTTTTATAAAGTGTACTTCTAAAATTTCTTGAGATGCAAAATAGCATATATAATTTTTTATAAATGGTTTCTTTTAATATATTTTTTCAATTGATAATTCATATAACTAATGTATTTAATTTTTCTTGTGGCATGTTACTCGAGATATATCAAATTTATAATAACTTTCCTTTAATATCATTTTTTTCCTACAAATCATATTTAATAATTTTCTTATTAAAAACCTATAATCTAGTATTGCTAAAATAAAGGAGGCCCTCAGATTTAGGAGCCTAAAATGATTGCCTTATACTTAAAAGGGGCAGAGCCGCCCCTGACAATGGTGCACCCGTATTTTTGAAATTCAAAATTCGCTTGTGTATTATCAATACATAAATTTATATCCATCTATTTAGAACACTATTTATTTTTTTGTTCCCCTTTTTATTAGTACACTACTTACTCAACTTTTAGTAGAGAACATGTTTTGAATAATACATATATTGAATACGTAACTCATAATCTGATAATGGATAACATGCTTGGAGTTATACATATAATGAATGTATGTATTATTGTATCTATTTATGTCCTCCTTTCCGGTCCGGCCGCAGTACGGCACCTGAACTCGAAGCTACGATCAGATCCAGTATAGATATGTTTAATTCCCATTTAAGTTCTACCTTAAATTACTATTGCTCCCTTTTTGGTCAATTTTCGGTCATGGACGTTTTATTGATGAATGAGTTTGTACAACATTGGACTCAACTGAGTCCAAAAAAAAATTCACACAAACTTAAAATTCAGCCCAACCCAATCCTACAAACCTCTTTTAAAAGACCCTTCAGGTAGGGTTTTCTAATTCGACATTCTCCTCATTTTCGCCTCCATGTATCCTCTGAGAGAGTTTGTCAACTAAGTCGTATGTATTCTTCATCTGGGGATCATCAATTCCCCTTTTGGGTAGTGGTTTATTAATGAGCAGAGAATCAACTCACAAAGGTATGTGCCTTTCCTCTCATCCCTTCTTTCTAGTTGGGCTCTTCTTCTCTTGTTTCTTTCTCTCTTAAGTAGTAGAGTTGTTATCCGGCGGATATCGTGGGATTTTTTTGGATTCGACAGAGGTATCTAGTCATGACCCTTAGTTGAGTGTGCTCTGTATAAGCCTTCATCTTCGCTTTTTCATTCTATTGTGTTGTTCCTCATGAAACTTCATCCACTAAATCGTTCTTTGCTGATGAGGTAGATAGTGATGGAAATATCCGCGATGCACAGACGCTTCCTTTTTTACTCCTCCTCCTCCAGATCAGTTCTCCCAATTCATATTCGTCCCTCTTGCCCTCGAATTTTTTTGGTGACTCCTTTTGGTAAGCACATAACATTTGTTAGGTAGCTTAAATTTCTCACATTTTTGAAGCCTTGTAAATTGATAAAACTGGCTAAGGTAATCTATACATCATTGAATATTGTTTATTCACCTTGCTCTAATTCTTAGATTAGAGATTAGTGCACTGTCACTATTTAGTAATTTTCTACATTCTATTGGAAGTTGTGAAAAATTATTAGCAGCTAAGGTATCTGTTGATCGAATACCACATTTGCTAGCTTGTCTACAAGTTGATTTGCTTCTCTAAATAGATGCTTAATCATAATTTGTAGTTTTCTTATGAGCTGTTTTATTTCTTCAATTTGAATTGCTAATTGCCATGGTATCTTCCATTTATCCGTATTAATCTTTCTTAAATCGATTAAGTCATTTTCAAGAATTATATTATGTAAATTGAGATCTTGACATCTCCTTAATTCCATTAGGATTGTAGTAGCCTCTGCATTCATGCTTGTAGTAATCCCATGCATCAAACCTTTGCACTAATAAGATCTCCATATTTATTTCTTATGCAGGAGGCGTATGAACTTTCTCTCAGATTTCCTCTACCAACTTCATCTATGTTGAACTTCATCCATCCTTGCTCTAGCAATTTCATTCATCCTTGCTCTGATAATTCCCCTCTTACTGTCAACCAATGATTCTTTGGTTTGTATTTCTGTGCTTGGCTATTATTTCCTCCCACTCTGTTGGTACCCCAATTCATGGGTATTTCAATTTGACCAAGCAATGCATGTATATCATGGTCTGCTAAATGTCTTTTTTCTCATAACTCCCACATTAACAGAGAAAGAATGGCTTTGTATATGTACCTTAATTTTGTTGGGGATGGTTCATTTCACTGCTTCTATATCAACTATATACATAGCTTTTGAGCTAGTGAAGTTGTTAGAAATAGGTGAAACATAGTCTCTTGTACGTAGCTTTCACAACAGTAGCATCTTGAGGCCAATGAAATCGTCATCTTCCTTAGTTTGTCTTCGGTGGTAATCCTCCCTTGCCATACCCTCAATGGGAAATAGCTTATTTAAAAAGGTATGTCTTTCAATCAAATATTGTCCAACCATTCTTGTTGTAGTCTTCTTTTTATCAATAGTTCATATGCAGATTTTACTAAGAAATTGTCACTATTATTAGGCATCTAGCATGGTGTATCACTTTCTCCAGGTTCCACGCTAATGTTAATCTTGATCTTATGATATCATGCCAACCATTTTTCTTATTCCAATCTCCATTTCTGGTGTGACTTTTCACTTCAATATATTTCATCTCCATATCATTTTCAATGAAGTATAGTGCTCCTTACTTGATCCAGTTATCAAATCAAAACTTGAAGTTTCATGATTTAATTTTTCATTTTATCTCATGTTCAGTCTCGTCTCTTACCTCTATTATTTTTTTCTATGCACGTGAAGCTCATCTAGCTCTCGCAATAACCAAGTATTGTTGTTTACACTATTTTTTACACATAAATGTACTCCATAAGATCCTATCGAGACCCTAAATTTCTACCATAGACTCTTAAATAGGGCTTAGTTACTTTATGGAGTGATCTCAAAACCCACTCCCCGTTCTATCTTAGGAAAACATATATCCTCCCACGCAACCCAATGTTTTCCCCTTTCTCCCCCTATTTTGTACCAAAAAATCTTAGCAAAAGCACGGTGCACTTATTTTATGATTCCTCTAGTAGGGTTCATGGTTGATAGAAGATACACTGACATATATTATAGAACGTGTGCGATCAGCACATGTCATCCTCCATAGGATAAGTACTCATTCTGTCAGCCCATGATCATTTTTGTCATTTCCCTCAGTATATCTTTATGGTTTACCTTGGTCTTTTTTCCATAATAAACAATACATTCTAGGTATGTAAAAGGGAAAGTTTTCATTTTTATACCCGTGAGTTTTTTCAATCTCATTTCCACCGCGGGAGGTGTTTCTTCATGCATATAAAATAAATTTTTGTCCTTATTTATCATTTGGCCAGATACCTCTTCATACCTCTTAAGTACCCTCATCATTTTTATTACTAAATATTTATCTCATAATACAAATAAAATTAGAGTCCAGATCCAGAAGGGCAAAAAGATTGAGAATAAATTTCGAAAAGGCAACGAAAAAAAGGTTGAAACCAAAAGGAAAACATTAAGATAGAAGGATGACTCTTGAAATTTTATATGCAGCCTAACATGTGTCTTACAAGGCGCAAGGTGACATGATTCTTGTAGGTCGCAGGTCGACTTGCACCTTGTAAGGCGCATGGGAGTTGAGCATGCACCTTATTCCTTACTAATTCGTGAGTCATACAATGGGCTACTATAATCTCAAATCTTCACTTTTTTCTTCTTCTTCACCTAATATTTCTATTTCTTTTGCTTTTTTCTTGGTGGCAACACTTATTTTTGTTAATCATCACCTGCATATTCATTAATAATTTGTTAGATTGTGTGCAAAAAGAATAAATTTTTGTCATATATTTATATAGGTAGTGCATTGTTTGGATTTGAATTAAGAGTTATTACTGTCTTAATTAGGAGATTGCCTACTTAAATTGGTCTAACTACCATGCTTCATATTGTGCATATAAAGTAGGATATTAAATTCCTAATATTAAGTTATATTAATGAAATATCTGCTAAGTTTATTCCCTTCCAAAATACTTATTTTATTCCGTTTTTAAGGGTCAATTTAACTAACTTAATTTCAAAGTTAAATTAGATTATATTGATTCAATATTTTAAAAATAAAAAATTTAATATAAAAAGTACTATATGAGAGTACTATAAATTGCATTTTATTTCTTATCAAAATGTAAAAAAAATAGTCATATAATTTTTTTAATTAAATTTTTTTATTATTATCATTGAATTAATGTAATTTAATTTTACTTTGAAATAAAATTAGTAAGACTGTCTTAAAAACGGTATAAGACAACTATTTTGGAAGGAAGTAAAAGTTAGCAGATATTTCATTAATATACCTTAATATTGTGTTTGACCAATTTAAGTATGTAATCTCCAAGTTAAGACAAATAATAACTCTTAATTAAAATTCAAACAATGGCTTGCCTATATAAATATATGACCAAAGTTCATTTCTTTTTGTTACATAATCTAATAAATTATCAGTGAACATGACAAGTGATAACGAAAAAACTCTCTAAGAAAAAATCAAGTGTTGCCATGAAGAATAAAACAAAAGAAATAGAAGAATTTGGTTAAGAAAAAGAAAAAATGAAGATTTTAGATTGTGCTAACCCTTTGTATGACTCTCATAAAATTGCTAAGGAGCAAGGCACGAACTCCCATGCGTCTTACAAGGTGCAAGTCGACCTGGACCTACAGGTATCATGTCAACTCGCACCTTGTAAGGCGCATGTCAGACTATGTTTTACTCCATAAAAGTTCAACGAGTCACCCTTCCATCTAAATGTTATCCTTTTGATTTCGATCATATTTTTATTGTCCTTTGGGAAATTATGCTCAATATTTTTGCCCTTTTAGTATCAGACTTAACAAGATTGTATCATCTACAATCCTCCAGATTCCACCTTAACATTCCATATCCTCTGTAACTCTCATCTTCATTTCGATTTTTTAAGTTTGATAAATTGTCTAATATTTCAGATTAAATATATTTACACAGTTCTCACCAAATAGATATAGTTCAAGTAATATATTTAATGAAGATCGAAAAATCTCACTTATAATAAACGTATAAAATTAAAATTATTATAAAATACATATTTAAAAAAAATATTTTAAACTTAACTTATTGGATCATTTTTGTCCACATAGTACTCCTACTATACTAGTACTATACTAGTGTATCTTTGAATAAATTAAATTAGTCAAGTTGCATAACATTTTCAAAAATTAACATACCATGTTAGCACAAATAGAAAAATGGGTCCAAATTGTAGTAACAATGAAGTAGCCAACTCAAAAACACAGATAGATAATGTGTGTCATTTAGTGAAATCACCATGTGCACAAATTACCAGCCAGCTTCACATAAATATGTCAAACATGATTTGGTCAATGACCTAAATATTTTAGAAAATAAACACCGATTTCATATCAGTTGTTCATATTTTTGAAAATAATTATTTAAATTAATTGATAATTTATAAAATTTTCATTTTACGCTTATAATTAATTCTTTTGAATATAAACAAGTCTGTAAAGTTTATAAAAGATTTCTTAAAATGTAAATTAATAAAAATCACCTGCTTCTTTCATTATTTTATGTATCGTTCTAAAAGTATGTGATTGACAAAATTTATTGAAATTTTGTAATTTTGATTATCGTATTATAGAATAGTGTTCCAATAATATTTATGCTCTAAAGTAGGAGAGATTAATCCATATCATATATGCAATTATAAGGGACAATTTTATGTTAAGCTCCAAACTTATATATCCTAATGTTAATTCTATTTTCAATATATATTTTTTAATACATATGTAACAATATATATATATATATGTGTGTGTGAAATTATAACTTCTAATAAATTTATATAATTAATTTTGCTTAACCTTCTCAATTTTTTTACTTAAATTCAAACCCAAACCAAAATATATACATTGTTAATGTCAAAATGTTGTTTAATTTAATTCAATTTTCTTGGTTTGATTTTTCGAGATTTCCATGAACACTTTCTTCATTCAACCCTTGAAAATGTATGAAGCTTAAATAATTATCTAATCAGTAACCACTGAAGGGACAAAAAGATATTACAATTTTTTGCATCATAATTAATATTGGTGTAAAGTCATTTCAATAATAATAGAGTTGAAGTACTAATTGTTACTTTAGAAACTCAAGAATTCTAAGTGTCCTCCCTACGTTTCATTTTATATGTCACTTTTCGGATTTCAATATTTAAACAAGTTTATTTTTTATCATAAATTTTTTAAGCATTTTAAATTATCAATTATTGTGACTCATAATACATTTTACTTTGTTTACTAGTAATATATAAACTTCATTTTTTTAAAAAAAAATTGAAGATCCTATACATAAATTTTCAGTCAAATTTAAATTGTTTTGCTCTCAAAAAATAAAAAATATCATATAAATTGAGACCGAGGGAATAATTGTTTTCAATTATACCTCAATACTCTTAATATTAAAGAAGTAATAATTTCTTATACTGCTCAATTCTTAAAACACATCTATTCCCTCGGTTCACTTTTATTTGTCATGTTGCGCTTTTCGAAAATTAATTTGACTAATTTTAAAGTTAAATTAGATTGCGTTAATTTGATTTTTTTTTTTAAAAAAAAATATTCAAAAACTATACGAAAAGTACTATAAATTGCAACTTTTTGCATATTGATCAATATGATCAAAATATATATCGTAAAATATTTGTCAAAGTTCTTATAATTTGACTTTAAAAAAGGAAACCATGACAAATTGTGGATGGAGGGAGTATTTGAAATAATTTAGTAAACTATTCCCTTTATCTACTTTTAGTTGTCATAATTTTCTTTTTTAGAGTCAAATAATAAGAATTTTGATTGATATTTTATGATATTTTTTTTAAAATCATATTGAAAAATGCAAAAAATTTACAATTTATAGTACGTTTTATATAGTTTATTAATATCTAAATTTTTTATTTAAAAATATCAAGTTAACATAATCTAATTTAACTTTAAAAATTAATCAAATTAACTTTCAAAAAACGCTATATGACAACTTAAAAAGATCAAAAGAGTATTTATTATTTTTCTTATTAGATATGAAAAAATTAAATTTACGATTAAAATGAGACAATTCGAAATGCTTTACACGGAAAATTAATTAGAATTGTTTTGGTCCAAATAAATGTTATTACAAGAATCTCAAAGGGTATAATAGTAAATAAAATATTATTATATAATAAGTATCATGTAAAACCAGACACATTTAATTATAATTATACATTGTATATTCATATTTTTTCATATAATAAAATTTTATTATCTAACTAAAAAATTTGTAAGCTCATAAAACGTTGCAAAATAGAATATGTGTTTTCAAATGTTACATACAATAAATTATGTCACCAAATTCCGTGTGATATAAAAATATATTATCTAATTATAGTTAAATATTTTAAAATAACGAACAACTTCTATAATTAAATAATAAAATTTGTCGCTAATTCTAATTAATGATAAACTATTATAAAATTCTATTTGTTATGATTTACTAGCAATTTAGTAATGGATTAGCTATAAAATTCATAGTTAATAATTTCAATTTTAGAAGAAAAAAAAGTACAAAGGCAACACCACCATAAAGTAGAGTCTGAAGTCTAAAAGGTATAAAATATTAATAAAAATTTTAAAACGGTATATAAAATTTCATATTAACTAAAACGGCAAAATCGCTGGAACAACTGCCTGGTAGCTATTTGAATTTTTTTTAAAAAAAATCACATGTTCCAGTGATTTTACCGTTTTGATTATATAAAATTTTATATACCGTTTTGAAATTTTTATTAATATTTTATACCCTTTAGACTCTGAACTCTCATAAAATATATTAAAATTATTTTTTGAAACAAATAAAGTGGAAAATCAACTTTTGCTTACTTTATTTTAAGTAGCTAATAATCTACTAGTTTAGTGGTGTACCATTACTCTTATTATACTAATTAATTTGTACTTTTCTACTCAAAATAAAATTGGTAAGGAGCAAGGCATAGACTATCATGCACCTTACAAGAAGCAAGCCGACCTGGACTTACAAGTATCATGTCGTCTTGCACCTTCTAAGGCGCCTGTCAGGCTGCACCTTACTCTCTAGAAGTACACAGAGTCACCCTTTCATTTAAATGTTTCCTTTTTGGTTCAAATCTTATTTTCGTTGCCCTTTTGAAATCAATCCTCAAATTTAAAGCCCTTTTAGCTCCGGACTTAACAAGATTGTATCATCAGCAATCTCCAAATCCCACCTTGGCATTCCATATCCTCTATAACTCTCATCTTCATGTAGTGTTTCTAACCCTCTTACAAGCACAGATAAACAAAGTAAATGATATAGGTCCCAGGATCACCTTGTTTCAGTCCCCTCT